CTTAAAAATCATTCAAAGCTGTCACTCATCATCTTAGTTCATCGCGAGCTCACATTTATAATCAGCGAAGCTCTCTACACTGTGTGATGAATCTCTTATTTACACCCTGTCTACACTTTGCTTATGAAGGATTGGTGAGATATGTCTGTGATACATTACTCGACGCTGCAAAAACACGTAGAAAGCTTTGAAGCTTCCCTGAGCGCAATCACAAGTATGGTCAGTCGCACTGGTGCTCCTAAAATAAATTTCATAGTCGCACGCAGTAGTTTTCAGTCGCAAATGCGACTGAAATGGTCGCACTGTCGAGCCCTGACATGTCTTTCGTTTAATTTGGCATTTTTTCAGATTAAGATATTTTAGTTCCTCCTGCTTGCATTCTTTTGCATATTTTATTTCCTCTGTGCTGACCAGTCCAGCCGATGTAGAGATGTTGGGGCCTGACCGCTGACGCTGTTGTGTCGTTGCTAACAGGTGATGCGGCGGCGCTGAGCTGCAGCATGGCTAACACTCCTCAGATGATGGCGTCCGCGGGGCACCTGTACCATCAGCAGCAGCAGCATCCGGCGCTGCACGTCTCTGCTTATCCGGGCCAGGGCCATTCCTTCACTACGGCTCCTTTCACAGACAGTAGTGTTCCTAACTCCAACAGCTTGTCTTGCCTGTACCAGGATTATCAGGTGACTCACTCAGTCCAGGGCTGTATGTATAAAGCCGCTCAGAGTAAAATTTTAGTCCTAAGTGTGTCAAAATTCTAAGAATGACATCATTTTACTCTTATTCCTAGACTTAAGAATAAGAGTGATTCAAAAAGGTTCTTAAGTGGCTAAGACTGGTCTCAGCTCCTAAATTATTTAAGAGAGCTGGAGAGGTCTCCTAACCTAGTTAGGAGTAACAAGATGGCAGCAAAGAGGAGACGACAAACACTTTCCAATGAAGATATGACACATTGGAGTTATATGATGATATGGAGTTGATAAAATGATACAAACTTGATTGTCAAGACCCAAGTCTTCAACAGGTCAATGCTCTAACTGCAGAAATGAAAGTAGTAATACAATTTTTTTGGCTGGAAAATTGGAAAAATGCAGCAATGCACCGGTGATGACACTGTAAGCAGGGTCTTGCATATTGTGGCACTAACCCCACCAAACACAACAGTGGCCAAAAGTGATGTGTGTTTTTTAAATTTTTTTTAATGACCCCACATTTCACTTAAACCATCAAAATACAAAGGAAAAAAAAACACTGACCAGTGTTGCCAACTGCTTCTAAGAATGACATCATTTTACTCTTATTCCTAGACTTAAGAATAAGAGTGATTCAAAAAGGTTCTTAAGTGGCTAAGACTGGTCTCAGCTCCTAAATTATTTAAGAGAGCTGGAGAGGTCTCCTAACCTAGTTAGGAGTAACAAGATGGCAGCAAAGAGGAGACGACAAACACTTTCCAATGAAGATATGACACATTGGAGTTATATGATGATATGGAGTTGATAAAATGATACAAACTTGATTGTCAAGACCCAAGTCTTCAACAGGTCAATGCTCTAACTGCAGAAATGAAAGTAGTAATACAATTTTTTTGGCTGGAAAATTGGAAAAATGCAGCAATGCACCGGTGATGACACTGTAAGCAGGGTCTTGCATATTGTGGCACTAACCCCACCAAACACAACAGTGGCCAAAAGTGATGTGTGTTTTTTAAATTTTTTTTAATGACCCCACATTTCACTTAAACCATCAAAATACAAAGGAAAAAAAAACACTGACCAGTGTTGCCAACTGCTTTCAATTGAAAGTAGCTAAACTGGTCACTTAATGTTGCTAGATGACCTCATAAAGGTGAGTTCACTGATCTATATTTGTATTAGTCAAGTCACCTTTATTTATATAGTGCTTTTAACAGTACAGATTGTGTCAAAGCAACTGTGCAGCATTAATTAGTAAAATAGTGTGTCAATGCAAAAGGAGAATAGTAAACACTCAATTTTCAGTTAAAGGCAGTCATTAAATTCAGTGATGTCATCATCCAGCTCAGTTCAGTTTAAATAGCATCTGTGCGATCAAGTCCACGATATCGCTGGATATTAAGTGCTGTCAAATGATTAATTGCGATTAATCACATCCCAAATAAAAGCTTTTGTTTACATAATATATTTGTGTATACTGTGTATATTTGTGTATATAAATACAAACACATGCATGTATATATTTAAGAAAAATTTTGTTTATATATTAAATGTGTATATATAATATAAAATATGAGAATATAAATATATAAATGTATATACATGTAAATATTTTTTAAATGTATACTGTATGTGTGTGTATTTATTTATATATATATATATATATATATAGGCCTGACCGCTGACGCTGTTGTGTCGTTGCTAACAGGTGATGCGGCGGCGCTGAGCTGCAGCATGGCTAACACTCCTCAGATGATGGCGTCCGCGGGGCACCTGTACCATCAGCAGCAGCAGCATCCGGCACTGCACGTCTCTGCTTATCCGGGCCAGGGCCATTCCTTCACTACGGCTCCTTTCACAGACAGTAGTGTTCCTAACTCCAACAGCTTGTCTTGCCTGTACCAGGATTATCAGGTGACTCACTCAGTCCAGGGCTGTATGTATAAAGCCGCTCAGAGTAAAATTTTAGTCCTAAGTGTGTCAAAATTCTAAGAATGACATCATTTTACTCTTATTCCTAGACTTAAGAATAAGAGTGATTCAAAAAGGTTCTTAAGTGGCTAAGACTGGTCTCAGCTCCTAAATTATTTAAGAGAGCTGGAGAGGTCTCCTAACCTAGTTAGGAGTAACAAGATGGCAGCAAAGAGGAGACGACAAACACTTTCCAATGAAGATATGACACATTGGAGTTATATGATGATATGGAGTTGATAAAATGATACAAACTTGATTGTCAAGACCCAAGTCTTCAACAGGTCAATGCTCTAACTGCAGAAATGAAAGTAGTAATACAATTTTTTTGGCTGGAAAATTGGAAAAATGCAGCAATGCACCGGTGATGACACTGTAAGCAGGGTCTTGCATATTGTGGCACTAACCCCACCAAACACAACAGTGGCCAAAAGTGATGTGTGTTTTTAAAATTTTTTTTAATGACCCCACATTTCACTTAAACCATCAAAATACAAAGGAAAAAAAAACACTGACCAGTGTTGCCAACTGCTTTCAATTGAAAGTAGCTAAACTGGTCACTTAATGTTGCTAGATGACCTCATAAAGGTGAGTTCACTGATCTATATTTGTATTAGTCAAGTCACCTTTATTTATATAGTGCTTTTAACAGTACAGATTGTGTCAAAGCAACTGTGCAGCATTAATTAGTAAAAAATTGTGTCAGTAATGCACAATTTTCAGTTAAAGGCAGTCATTAAATTCAGTGATGTCATCATCCAGCTCAGTTCAGTTTAAATAGCATCTGTGCGATCAAGTCCACGATATCGCTGGATATTAAGTGCTGTCAAATGATTAATTGCGATTAATCACATCCCAAATAAAAGCTTTTGTTTACATAATATATTTGTGTATACTGTGTATATTTGTGTATATAAATACAAACACATGCATGTATATATTTAAGAAAAATGTTGTTTATATATTAAATGTGTATATATAATATAAAATATGAGAATATAAATATATAAATGTATATACATGTAAATATTTTTTAAATGTATACTGTATGTGTGTGTATTTATTTATATATATATATATATATATATATACTGTACATATTAAATATACACAGTACACATAAATATATTACATAAACAAAAACTTTTATTTTGGATGCGATTAATCACGATGAAGCGTTTGACAGCACTAATATATATTTAAATAGATAAGTGATCTCGCCTTTTATGACGTCATGGGAGAGTCTCGGAATGTAGATAAGGTTTGTCCAAGAAATTGATTTTGTTGTCTCTAAAGGTATGAGGAAGTCACTAAATCTAGTGACAAAATCACAACATTGACTACAACATAAGTTATTAATATTTCATTGGTCCTCTTGTTTTTGCATGTGTTCATAATTTCTTTGTATGACAGCATTAGGGTTATGACCTCACTATTTGGCATGTTTCATTGCATTATTATCACAAATAAAATAACTGACTCTAAGCAACTATGCAATATGCTTACAAAATCTTGCACATTTTTGTTTTTTAATTAAGGGTGAAGATGTCCAATTTCCTAGGCCGGACATCACTTTTGGCCACTACTATATGGGAGTTTATTGACTTTCCAACTGACCACCAAACCATATTGCAAAAACAAGCCACTTTTATGAGGATTGTGGGCTTTCCTGGAGTTGATGGAGCCATTGATGTTCACTCCAACTGTAAACGAGGAGACATACCTAGAGAAAACAAAGCATCAGTAATAATTTGTGATAATTTTGCACAATGCAAAGCATTTTTTTAAATACATTTAAATATTAAAATATTTAAATATTTGTCTTAATTAAATGTTTTTTTTTTTTGTAGGTACGTTAAATGATTGGTGTTGTGCTGCTGTGACTTTGCTCACTATTGGCTGGTTCTGAGGTCGAGGGTTGACATCATTGTAGTCCTTAGTTCAACACTTAAGAATCAGTCTTAGACTTTACTTAAAGTTGCTTTTAGCTTCTTTATAAAAGTCTCGTACTCTTAGAAAAGTCCTACTCTTTACTAAGAATTTTTTGACACTTTAGTCAAAGCTTAAGACTATTCTTAAGAGCATGTCTGAGAAGTTTTATATAAACGGGCCCAGTGAAACAGCTCTTTTCTCTGACTGTAGCGACCCTGCTCTAAATGAGACGCTTCTGTTTGTGTGTTCAGGGCTGCATGCCTGACGGCGTCCCGCCGGCTATGAGCTCTCTCTCTGGAGACGCAGGCCTGTACCGCGACGCTCCGCAGAAGCTGCAGGGTGAGGTTTCTGTGCTGGGGGGCTCTGGAGGTCAGAGTTCGGTGGATGCGATCTACAGAGCGGTGGTGGACGCCGCTGGCAAAGGCATGCATGTGACCATCACTACCGGCGTGAGCACACAGTCCAGCCCCGTCCCCGCGCTCAGCGCCATGAGTGCCTTCACTGCCTCTATCGGCCCGCCGCTCAGCCTGCCTCATGCCGTCAGCGCCGTCATTCACACGCCACACGGATCCGAGGGCACGAGCCGCCCGCCGCACAACCGCAGGAGCTCAGAGCAGAACACTCCTGACGGTGCTGACACCCACGAGTTCTTCCGCTCGCCGCGGCCGCACTGGGACGAGCCCAGCCATGCACACTGGAGAGGAGAGGAGTTTCTGGAGTGCTCCACACAGGTGTGCAGCAGCAAAGCCCTGATGGAGTGTCTGCCGGAGATGGCCTCCGACGCTCAGACAGACGACAGCGCTAGCCTGCGGTTTAGCCACCGCTCCAGAGAACGGCTGGAGCTCAACGGAGCGGTGCCTCGCGGAGGATACGGGGAGCCGCTCACCGGAGACGACCAGTCGCCCGGATCCTCCACCAGCTTGGAAGGTCCGCTGCTCAAAGACTACACTCACTTCAACGGGCACTTTAACGGACACTGTGCACCCAGCCCCTCGGACACCAGGAGCCTCAGCAGCGAGGAGGAGCTGAGGCACCCAGACTCTCCTTCAGCAGAGATGCTGCACTACAGGCCTCGGGCCTTCAATGTGAGCGAGCTGGTCTGGCCGATCAAAGGCTTCCCGCCCTGGCCGAACAAACTGATGGGAGAAGAGCATGGGCGCAATCCCAGCATGCAACTGTCAGAACAGGCCAGGGTAAGAGACGCTGCCTTGTCCTGTCTATATGCCCTTGAAGGTGCCTAATGCAAAAGTCATTTTGTTATTATAAAGTGTGAAAATGTTACAGAAGCGTCATGTCATTTAGCCGTAGAGCAGCGGTGAACGCTGCAGTGAGATTTGTGTCTTGGTTCTGGTGGGGCGACTGATGATCTGTGAACTTGTCAGTGGTTGTTCGGATTATAAGGGCTTTGAGATCAAAGATTTAAGTAAAATCTTTTAACTGCAGTAGTAAATATTGCAGATAATATTTCTCTGGGTAACAGATCTGCTGTTTAAACTCTTGTTTTTTAGGTGGAACCGGAGCAGCTGAAAACACTAACACAAGACCTTCAGATGCTGGACAGAGCCAGCAAAAAAACCAGGAAGTAAGTTTCTCTGTAACACAGCGATCCTACAACACTCACATGCTGGAAAACATTTACAAGTGGAAAAAAGAGATGCTCAAACCAAAAATCTAAAATTCATCTCCATTGAAGAAAAGTTGCAACACCCACTCGAGAAGGAAAAAAAACTATTGAGATGTTGAATGGTGTGTCTGAGTTTTTACATGCTGTTTAAAAGCAAGTAAAATAATAAGCTGATGCTACTATGATAAGAGACCAGCACATGACAGTCTTGTTCAGACACTACAGCTGATCTGAGATCTGCGTCCCGCCAGACTCCTCTTTATAATGCTCTCAGATTTCCTAATTCTCCCTTCAGCAAACACGGAGAATGGGATAATAGTTTCATGGTATTTTATACACTTCAGTGCTCTGTATTTAATGCCTCAAAGTCACCTTTCACCCAATTTCTAGTGGTAGGTTCACAGTTGTAAGTTCAATTCACGTTTATTTGCATAGTGCTTTTCACAATACATAGTTTCAGAGCAGCTCTCCAGAAAATGAATGTTTCTTTGATATAAGGTTATTTGGCCAGGGAAACGTCTTTACTCAGTTCTTTAATGGATTTATAAAAAAATGTTTAGTCAGGAATAATCTTACATTTATCAAGTACTGAAATGAAAAATCTTGTTTGTTATATTGATGCGAGTTGGTTCTTGTTTTTTTCAATTCCTACAGTATGTTTGTTTCTTTTGATATACATTGATCCCTGAAAATAGCTATAGATGCTGTTATGGCAGTAAAATTAAACGAATATAATTCAGCCAGGGACCAGGAAGTTTTGAGAAATCTCGTTAATCTCTGATCCCCAGTCGATGAAAAACTCCATCGGCGGTGAGATGTTGAGAGGAAACAGACTCATCTAGCAACCAAATTATGTCAATAACAATAATACATAGACTAAGATAGTACAAGTCATTAATATCACATTCTTTCATGTTTCTTTCTGAGCGCTTGTGTTTTTGTTTGGCTTGACGTCTGTTGTTTTTAAAGGTGTGCTATTAATGCATCTCGTATCTCTCTCTCACAGGGCGGGAAAACTGAATCATCATTTAGAAGCTGCGATTCATGAGGCCATGAGTGAGTTGGACAAGATGTCTGGAACTGTGAGTTTCTCTCTCACACACACACACACACACACACACACCTCATGGAGCTTGTTCTGATTGGATGATGGGATGATACAGTGAAGCTGTTGTCTGTCGATCTGCAGGTTCATCAGGATCGTCAAGTCAAGCTGCCCAAACCCAAGAGGAGGAAGATCTCCAGATAACAGCAGCGTCAGTGTCTCTCTCTCTTTGATCGTGGTGCTACACTCTAGCAGACGGCTCATCGTGGCTCCGCCCTCATCCAGTGACTGACAGGTGCTGGATCAGCCAATTAGAAAAGGCAGCAAAAACAACTTGCTGAAAAACTATTTTTTGTAGTGTACAAGGAAAAATATAAAAAATGCAAAAAAACAAAAAAGAAAATTACTGCATTTAAGAACACAGACAGTCCAAATATTTCTGATATGTTTTCGATGTGTATATAGACAATACAGAAATGTCATGGTAAAAACATGGGAAGAAGTGTAAATACTGTAGGGTAATGACATGTACAAGCCAACTCAATGCACACTTTATCTTCAGCTGTACAAAACACAAAACAGAAATGTCTCATCGGCCCATAAGGCCCTGCGACATTACAATGAATAAGAGTCAATCTGAGACTTTTCTAAGCTTCAGTTTGAGGTTTATAATTGTCCCGTGTCATTTTGCTGAGTTTTCTGTCTTTATATGGTTAAGTTGGTCTCTCCTTTGTGGTATTTGTTTGAGTTAGACAGCACTGGTTTGTGAGGTTTAATTGGAGTCGTTCTTACTGTAATGGCCAACGAAGAGGAAAACTAGGGGCCTTATAATGTGTTATAAGTGATGCATGGACTCCCTGTTTATTTGACCTGTTCAGTTAAACTTGGCAATAATACGGCCCTGCACACAAAGCCTTATACTTGTGTACACACACACTTCAGTATTATTCTGTTAACAGTGTTTCTTTGCCTTTCATGATGCACTCAGTATTTTCTCTTTTAAAGTTTCACTCATCAAGAAATTAACAGTACTTTTGGAAAATCTTAATTTCGCTGTCCACTTGATAGAAACCTCCAGTCATATCAGTAATGAAATAAAATTAGATTGACTCTACATGAAGAGGCACAGGGGCCTCATGAGATCACATGACCAGCCGAACACCAATCACTTTATCTCAGTAACGTGGAAAAGGGAAAACGCTGTCAGTAGCTGCAGACTTTAGCTTCCACACGTCAGGAGTCAGAATCAGTCGAGAACGGGAACATATCAGCCAGCCGACGTCAGAAACCACTGAGCGGCCCAATCTGTGTGTAATACGGTGATGTTGTGTTCGTGTGCTGCATTATGGAAAGACACAGATGAGCTGTAGATGTGTTGAATCTCATACAGACTCATGAAAGTCCTGCTATCATTCAGATTCAAGTTCTAAAGGGGTTCATGGGAAATGTCACTTCTGAGTGACAAACTGAGAGGAGTTTGTTTTTGTCTTGGTGTCTGTTATACTTTCATGAATATATGATCAGAAGGGTTAGAGAAGTGACTTTAGGGATCATAGACTGGGAAATGGAACAGGTCAGAGGTCAGTGTCGGTTGCACAGAATCACTTGAGAACACGGTGTGACATGGACATCTGCCAGCAACACTAACTCAATATGAAGAGCTGATTGAATTATTTTTGTGTGTAAACTCTATAGGTATGTGTGGGATTCGCAGCACATTGCTGTGTGAAACACTCATCAGCTTGCATCCGTTTGAAACTCTAAAGCAGGGCAGATTAAATAGCAGATATTGGCTGTTTTCTCTCCTTGTCGTCAATCTTTACAGAAATCTCACTACGAAATTAAGTGCAATATTTCCATTCTGTGGAACTGGGAACTATATCGGCGCAGATATCATTGTAATGTGTTTCAGAGGAGAAATGGTTCAAGCCCGTGAACAGACTCGGTCAGCTCGTGCGTCTCTGCTGGTGAAGTCGGCTCTGTTGTTAGCGCAATGCTGCGGCTCTGTGTTCAAAGTCTTACTGTTCAAGGTCAAAAACATTTTGTGTTCATGTGGTCAGTGTTGCCCAAAACATTTTCCATTTCAATTCTTCAGTCCTTTTCTTTCATTTCCTCTGTGCGTGCGTGTGTGTGGACATTTTTATTTTATTCTCTTTGCTTGCTGTTTTTTGATTGGTATCTGACTGGTATTACAAACCTTTCTGATGTCAGTATTTTTTTTCAATAAGTATCTGAGTATATATTTTCTCACCAGTATGTACTTTACAGCAGTCGACTTTGTAAAGTATGTTGTGCACTTGATTATGTTTGTTTCTGATAGCTTTGATGTGGCTGTTAGGTTTAGATTGTTAAAGTCCATAATTTCTTATTGTTTCATTTAATTTTTTAAGATGTCCTAAACAGCAGTTTTGTAAATATTGTGAACATTACAGGTCATGCTGTGATGTGACATTGAAATGATGTTGCACCAATGTTTCAATTAAAACCTGGTCACTAAATCTTGGTCATTAAACTGGCATTTTTACTGTAGCTTTATATGATGGATCATCAGAAATTATTCAAAGTATATTTTAGTTTTTTTCAAATTCATGTTTTAATACTATTTGTTGATTACATGGTTGATTACATTTTGTTTTATTTCTTGGACAAAATTATTCATCAATTTTAAACTTTTAGTTTTTGAAATGAGAGAATATTACAGTTTTTCTTTTTATATACAGTCCTTTGAATTTAAGGCTGCCGTCATACAAAGCTGTGTGTTTTATCACTGCGAAGCAGAGGCGACCAATAAAATTAGTCACTGGAAGCAGGTAAATCAGGTCCAGCACTAACTAATAATAGTGTGATGGATACATTTTTTTTTTTTTATCTTAAATTGTAATCTTCTCATCTGAGTATTCAGTCTATCAATAGATAGCTAACAAAGGGCACTGCTAGAAATTTTGGGCCACTTGTTAATGTCTCCTTGTGATCGTTGATGTTCACATGATGAAGCACCTCATTTTACACAAGATTTCACATGTATAACATCTTCACAAAAGTTTATGGTCTGACGTTTCTCCTTTAATTACTGCAATCTGTCTTTGGATGTTGGAAAAAGGTAGACTAAGATCAACTGAAATTCATGTTTCAGAATCCAGAAAAAAAAAAACTTGACTAGCTGAGATTCTGTTGGCATTTGCACCTGATCACAAACACGTTCATGAGCCATTCATAAGAGAAATACTGAAGCAGAAACTGCTGCTTTGTCCAGGTGTGGTAAGATTCTGCCTTAACATCACAAATCTAGCATCTTTTTTTACTTTAAAATAAAAAAAAAATTAATCTCTACTTGCAACACTATATTTTGTTAAAACTACCCTAGCATATATTTTTTTAAGCTGCAGTGTTTGAGTGTGACTGTAAAATTAACGTTTCCGCTTATGCCTGCTGTAATCCAGTGGTTTATATTTTTTCTTCTCTTGGAAAGGCACTGGGGTTGTGTGAAAAGGGTCCATATGCTGCAGACAGATGGAACAAAAGAACAGACCTCAGTCCTGTTGATATGTGGTGTGATTTGAATGATTCATTGATGGACATCATGTAGTGGATTTGACCAAAATGCTGTACCAGTCTGGACTGCGCATTGCTACCTGATTAGTAGAGAAAACGTTTTAAATGTGGCTCTACTAGTTACCAAGTTCACATCGGTTTTACATTAAAAATTCAAAGATTGATCACTTGATTGTAAAAGAACTAACGATATCAAAAGTGCTACGGTGTTAAATTTCATGACTGCGCCACACAAAGCAAGAGCAGAAGCAAGAAGTGCAGAACAGTACATACACATCCAAAAAAAAAAAAAAAATGCTAAATTGCTTTGCCTGATTAATGTATGTGGTGATATATGTATGAATAGTCTGAATGATGTGGGACCAGGCATTCATTTCAATTCACATGTATTTGAATAGTGCTTTTTACAACACATATTGTTTCAAAGCTGCTTTACAGTTTAACAGATTACAATCAAGAAGCCAGGGGGAAAAAATCCTTGATGAGGTATTAGAGAAAAACCTTGTGGCTCTTGCAGTGTGTCTGAGGCCCAAACATCATCAGGAAGGCTATTCCAGAGTCTAGGAGCCAAATTAGAGAACGCTTTACCTCCTTTAGTGGACTTTGATCTCCTCGGTACTATCAATTGTCCAGAATTGTGTGACCTTATAGAGTGTGATGGGTTGTAGTGCAGTTGAAAATCAGTTATATACAAAGAAGCCAGACCATTTAGGGCCTTGTATGTATTATTTATTTAGAAATATTATTTTATATCAATACAGAACTTAAAGGGATAGTTCACCCAAAAATGAAAATTCTGTCATCATTTACTCACCCTCATGTCGTTCCAAACCTGTATGAGTTGCATTCTTATGTTGAACATAAAAGAAGATATTTTGAAGATTGCTGGTAATCAAACAGTTGGTGGTTGCCATTGAATTCCATAGTAGGAAAAAAAATTACTATGGAAGTCAATGGCAACCACCAACTGTTTGACAGTTGCGCACGGCCCACCTAAGTCCAGTGGCAAGACAAAGTCAAGACGGCTGGAGATGGGTAAGGATGCAGTGGACGGCCAGCAGTGTCCTTCGTGTCTCACTGTGCCCTGATCGCGCTCCACAGCACTTTGCTGGAACCGCCTTTCTGATCGCTGAACCAATCTAGTGGTTTCTTCCGCTCAGTCTGCCGGGTCCAGTCTTTGCATGCATGGGCAGACAAGCCCTAGTTCACCGGGGGTTTGACGCCCGCTGGCTACCCTCACCTAGTTTAGCCCGCCAGTCGAAGCGGTGCATGCAAACAGCTACTTGGAGCCATAGGTGAGAGCTGGGTGCAAGTGGGGACCAGAGCGGACGAACCACCCGGAGGTGCGACTGTTCGCCCGTCAGAGGTACTACCCCCTCCCTAACACCCCATAACACCCAATAATAGACATGATACGATTGGGGTGATATGATCATATTTTCTTGTCCTGGTAAGAATGCCAGCTTGTTTACTGAGGATGCAGGAAAACCACCTAATAGTTCATTACAGTAATCCAGTCTAGATACATGAACTAGATTTTCTGCATCAGAAGGTGGAAGAAGGCTGTTAGGACTCTCAGGCCTGGTTTCACAAACAGAGCTTAGACTAAGCCAGGATTAGGCCATAGTTCAATTAGGACATTTAAGTAAAACATTTTTTATAAATGTGCCTTAGAAAAAACATTACTGGTGTGCATCTTAAGACAAAACGAACGCACTGATATATTTTAAGATCAGTCAGTGCAAGTTCTTCCAGTTGAAACAGCTCAGACTTACATTTTAGTCTGGGACTAGGCTTAAGCCTTGTCTGTGAAACCGGGGGTCAGAGTGTCCAAACAGTAGGGCGATAAGGTGATTCCCAGATTAGGACTAAAGCTACAACCGCAGGGTCTCAATGACAGACAGCAGGGAGTTTTGTGTGGCCTTGCCCACTTTTGAAAGGAATTGTTGTCATCCAGTTTGATCTGTGACAGAAAATCATAAAGTTCAGAAAAAGATCTCAAAAAGACTGTTCTGTATTTTTTCATTAGTCACTTTGAATTATTAAATATTTGTTCATTAAAGATGTTTGTCAGTGTATTTGTTCAGATCACTCTTTACCATCG